CAAATTATCTGGTTCAGATAGAATTTAAATGAAGTTGAAAATGATAAAAGTGATATTTAAATGAAGTTGAAAATGATTTAAATAAAATTGAAAATGATGTCTTGAACTTCAGATGCATCCTACCTGTATACTGCCCTCTATTACTGGGAGATTATTCTCCACTGAATGCTACCATTCATTTCGTTGCGATGGCTCCAACAACCCTTAATTCCCATTTATTTCCTGAACATCGCAAAGACTCGATCACTCAACCGACAGTGATGCGTTGCAGCGATCCACTGAAGAATTTCCATATCTGCGGTTCTGGCTGTCCAGGTTATTAGATTTTTTACCATCCTCTACATAATTCACGCTTTAGTCATATTATTTTAAGTGTAACTGTATGCATGAAATGAATTACAATTCCGAAGAGAGCAAAAATTCAAATTCCAGAAAAGATGCAAATGAATGGATTCAAAGAAAAAAAATCAATCTTTCCGTTTATTTTATCTCAGCTGGTTGCAATAATCAAATGGCCGGTTTTTGTGGTACTCAATGTGTTGCCGGATGTTTCTGTCGCAATTCGTACATTCTACAAGATGCTTATAACTTGAATTCCCGATGTGTACTACCACATCAGTGTCAATCGTTAGCTGTCCAACAACAACAAATTTGTTCTGATCCTCGGAAAGAGTGGACACATTGCTTTTCCTATGAGTAAGTCAAACTAATTTATTTCGTTTCTTTTCTTTTTCCTTTCTCTTTTGTTTCATTTTTTTCTCTTGTTCATTATTTGCTTAATTACCAAGCATTTGTTAATTTACATTTCTTACTTCGTATGAATACAAATAAAAGCAAATGCAAAGATTTTATCAAGTTAAGAAGGTCCGAGATAAGGTATGATTGTATTTGTTAATTAATCAATCATTAATTAAGTTATTTTTCTGATAAGAGTGACAATACATTATTTCTGTGCAGATGCGTACGTAGTTGCTCAAATCCAGAAGCGAAATGTACATCAAATGACTGTACTCCTGGTTGCATTTGTCGTGAACCATACCTGCTGCTTGACTTACGTAATCCTAATTCACGTTGCGTACTTCCCAGTGAATGTGGTTCTCAATGTTCCGACCCACTGAAAGAGTATCAGGCTTGTGCTTCCTCATGTCCTATGGGTTGCAACAATCGAGTACCACAGACTTGTTCACCATGTGTATCCGGATGTTTCTGTAAGTCAGGTTCGTTGACTTCTGAATTTGTTTGATTAGATAAAATGATCATAATTCAATCCCAACACATACATAATTTTAGGATTTGTATTTGAAGATGCTGTAAACTGGCGCACTTCTAAATGTATTCCCTTGAACCAATGCCCAATGACCAACATTACTGCTTTACTGTTTAATCCAGAAAACAATAACTCAGGTAAATCTTCCACATTATTGGTTTTTTATTCAAAAATTAATTCCATTCTCAGTCTGTACAAGACATCAAAATGTATTAATTACTGATTTTCATAGAGAACATGGCGGAATGTCCTGCGACAACGGTTGATTTAAGTGGAAAATTTTGTAATTTTGATTCTGATTGTCCAATGCAACAGGTAAAGTCAAATATTAAGCATTCTTGTAAAACATAGTTAATGTCATACTTTGTTGAAAGAAATGATTGATAATTTTATTCGATGGTTCCAAAAAGAAACGCTAAAAACTAAGAAACTCTGGATCTGGATCGAGATGAAGTAATTTTGATAATGAAAAATGAAAAGTCATTCATGAAAAAACATATATTTTAGCGTTGCTGTCGTTCAAATCTATTTGGAATGATCAGTTCGAAACGATCACGTTGCACATGTATCGATCCACACGCATATTGGGATTCATGTGGTGTCTTGTGTCCAGAGTATTGTGGACAACCTGCAACACCGGTATGTTCACCAACCTGTAATCCAGGTTGCCATTGCGCATCCGGTTACGTGAAAGCACGAAATCATGTAATGGCCCCATGCGTACTACGAACACAATGTTTGCAGCAAGGTAGTTGTTATTTATTTGAAACTTTTCTTTAAATAAAAACAAAGAATATGAAATCATAAATTTTAACTTGCTAATTATAATATCTTTTCCACTCCTTTTTTTTTTATAACACAACTCAATGATTACTGTTAACAGCAAATGTTATATTAGCCGAAACTTTTCGTTTAAAAGATAATTTTTCTTCTAAAACTGTGATCCTAACTTCAACATGTAAATATTAATTGTGGTGAGATGTTAAAAATTTAACTTTTTTAAAAAATGAGAAGAAAAAGAAAAGCAATCAGTTTCTTTTTTTCCGGTGTACTTCAGTCCAGGAATATTTCAGGAAATTATCATGATACTATCGAAGAGAGGGAACGTACAAGTGAATCGTACAATCTCTACAAAGAAATAGCAACTGTAAAAATACTAAATGATGGGAATAAAATTATTGGTGATGTAAAAATCAAAGAGATTAGCAAAGAAAGAATCAAATTGGAAGGTACAATTGAAGGTATATTTGTTAAAAATTTCAGTATTAGCAACAATAGAATTCATGCATGCATAGGGTTTTTTCTTTTTTTTTTTTAAATCAAAAGTTGAAAATCTTGTTTAAGTGTCAAAAAGAAAAAAGAGAAAGAAAGAAGCAAAGAGTGGTAAAAACTTCACGGTTGAATGATTGAAGATTGCTATCATAACTGAGATTTCTTTTTCAAGATTTCTTTTTTTGTTTTTAGTTCTTAGGAAAATCTCTGATTTCGTAAGAACAATAAGGTTTATTTGAGCAAAAAGGCTAATTAATTAGGATAAAATTAATTAGTATATGTTTTGAGTAAAATGTTTGTTGAAAATAAATTTGTATTTATGAAAGAAGTATGAAATTCATTTCGCTACATGAAGAATGTGTATTAAT